GCTTAGATGTGGCACAAGGCCGAAAGTATGGAGCACCCAGTGAGTATCGAACTCACTAATCAGTCGTAATTGTTCTAACGATACAAGTTTGCTAACTATTACAGGGCTTCGAGGTGTCAAGCCGTCTTAACAAATAGTGATTTTCCAAGCGTAGCTTAAATGTGGCACAAGGCCGAAAGTATTGGGCAACCAGTGAGTATCGAACTCACTACTCAGTTGGAATTGTTCTAACGATACAAGCTTGCTTACTATTACACCGCTTCGAGGTGCCAAGCCGTCTTAACAAATAAGCGGATTGCAGATTTCTCAAAATATCACAATGAATAAGAAGTTGTGGAGGGCCATGATCGCCACGGGTTGAAATGACATGGCACATATAAGTTACTGATGATTCAGACTTTGATACTACTTAAATATACTGGTCCACTTATGAAAAGAGAAATTTCTTCTTTAGAAAATAAATATTGTTGATTAGTATTCTTTAGACCTTCCTTAAGCCGGTACATTTGGCAGAAGCGAAAAATATTGATTGGTTTTCGTTTTAGAAAAGGGGCCTTGGTTATATTATCGATACAGTGTCAAATCGATTCCTGACTTTGATCAGTTATTGCCCTTTGGCTAAGTCACTTCGCTGTTAGTTACAAACGTCTGAAAATCTGTTTAATTTTCTGAATTTTTTTTTAAATTTAATTTTTTTGTATGAACTCTATTTCAGAAACTCATTTGAGGTTCATAATTATTTATCTTAAATCATGGATACCGGATTCATAATTTTATTAATTGTTGTAAATTTTTGTTCTTTACTTTAAATATACACTACAGTTCAAAATTTTGAGGAAACCCTGGTATTATTTTTAAATTGCGCCTAGAAGTAGTTGTTTTGTACTTTAAATAAAGTTAGACCGACCCGACCCTGTTTTTTACTGGGTCTACGGGGAATTTTTGCCCGAGCCTATGGACTCGGATACCCTACGTTAAATTCGGCCTTCTGCTACGTCTGACCGCGTGAGTCGGTTGGAACAAAAACAAAATGTTTGCTTTGGCAATTAGTTAGAGATTCGTCTCCAGCTAAGCTAGTCGAACTCTCAGCCTTCGGGCAAAGAGTTCGACTAGCCCTTCGGCATAGCGTCGTCTGGAGTGGTAGACAGCTACCCGACACCGTTTTTACGGGACCTACGGGGAATTGTTACCCGAGCCTACGAGCTCGGATACCCAACGTTAAATTCGGCCTACTGCCACATCTGACCGCGTGGGTCGGTTGGAACAAAAACAAAATATTTGCTTTGGCAATTAGTTAGAGATTCGTCTCCAGCTAAGCTAGTCGAACTCTCAGCCTTCGGGCAAAGAGTTCGACTAGCCCTTCGGCATAGCCTCGTCTGGGGTGGTAGACAGCTACCCGACACCGTTTTTACGGGACCTACGGGTAATTTTTGCCCGAGCCTACGAGCTCGGATACCCAACGTTAAATTCGGCCTACTGCCACATCTGACCGCGTGGGTCGGTTGGAACAAAAACAAAATGTTTGCTTTGGCAATTAGTTGGAGGTTCGTCTTCAGCTAAGCTATTCGAACTCTCAGCCTTCGGGCAAAGAGTTCGACTAGCCCTTCGGCGTAGCGTCGTCTGAAGTGGTAGACAGCTACCCGACACCGTTTTTACGGGACCTACGGGTAATTTTTGCCCGAGCCTACGGGCTCGGATACCCCACGTTAAATTCGGCTTTCTGCCACATCTAACGGCGTGGGACGGTTGGCAAATATCTTTGTACTTTAAATAAGAGAACATTTCATAGTTAAAAAATGAGACATGATTTTTTATTAGAAATTTTATTATGGCCAAAAGAAAAAAAGGAAGTATTTCATGGTTAAATTTTGCTTTATCAAAATATCCCCCTTTAACTTTGATTAAAGCAGCTCAAATCTTTTGTCATTCGTAGCAAAATTTTCTCAAAGTATAAGCTTGATAATTGATTCCATTCTTTTTTCAATGAATCTAAAAGCTCTTTTTCATACGGACCCGTCAAATGATTATGACTGAGTCTTAAAAATGAGGCTATCGAAGATTTGTTGTTTAAAAACAATAATTTGGACTTTGCTAATGAGACGCTTCTTTACAGTTGAGTAGTATAGCACATCGGATCAGTTGACGGTTCCCTCTACGACACAGGTTCGATTCCTGTTGGAGACCGAATATTTTCTAGGAAATTTCTTAAATATTCAGGCCGGTAAATGTAATTAATACTGTTTATTTAAAAGAAAAAAGACAGAGCATTTACTTAAATAAACTGTAGCTATTGAAATAACGTATAAACAGAAAATATAGTAAAAGTAGTTGTTTTGAACTTTGAATAAGAGAAAATTACTATAGATGGTTAAAAAAATGAGACATGATAATTTATTAGAAATTTTATTATGACAATAAGAAAAAAAGTATTTTATGATGAAATTTTGCTCTCGTCAAAATATCCTCCTTTAACCTTGATTAAAGCAGCACAATTTTTTGTCATTTGTTGCAAAAGTTTCTCAAAGTATAAGTTTGATATATATGTTATATATGATACGTACATTTTTTTCATAATTTCATGCTGCGTATTATTCATGAGAAATAAATATTAATTCTTTTTTTCCAAAAAGTGACGCTCTTGTGTAAATGTATACCAAGAGTGGCATTGGGAGGAAAAATAAAGGGACAAATATTGCTTATAGCTTCAGAGGAGAGGAAGTTGTGGATGTCCATGATCGTCTAAGTTTTGAAGGGACAAGGCACGTAATAGAAGAACAAAGAACCTTTTTTGCCTTCCATCTGCATGACTAATGTTTGGTCTCACCTTTTCCACCGACATGGAGAGGAACGATTTTATTAAACCAGTTGTTAAGTCAGCTAGGAAATTTTGTTCACTATGTGATGTAGCATACCTATGAAAGATAATGGGTATGTCCCCATTCACATAAATACAGTAGTAAATACTGTATGTTGGTCTTATGTTCAGATATTTAACATTACATTATTTAGCGCGAGTTTCGTCCTATTTTCCCATCTCATAGATAACTTTTGTCTAATAATGGGAAAAAATCTACACAATACTCGGACACGCAGGGCAAGTAGAAACGTCATTTGAAACTATGCTATCAGCCATAATGAACCTTCTGCAGAATAGAAGCGAACTGAGCCAATTACTGACCAACTTGGGAATATTATTCGTCTCCAACTGTGCTGGTCAAACTCTCTGCCTCAACGCAGAGAGGATCATTAGACGAGGCTATGTTTAAGGAGAGAGTCTCGTCTCGGGAAACAGCTACCCAACCCTATTCTATACGAGGTCTACGGAGATTTTTTGGCCGAGCATAAGTGCTCGGATAGCCCACATTCAATTCAGCCTTGTGCCACATCTGAGCACGTGGGGTGGTTGGTAGATATCCTGCAGTTGGTGATTCACTGGGGAATCCACTTGACTCACTTCTAACTGTTGATTACTTCTTCTACGCGCCGCTGACGAATCTTATGTGTTGTTCTTGTCCTAAATATTATCGTTCATTACCAACCTTCATTTGATTATTCTATTCAGTAACCTTCCCTAGGTTAAAACACTATCACAATTTTACTCACCAGAATCTATCTAGAACATTCATAAGTCAACCAGCCTTTCGAATGTGCAATGAATATTGTTGCCCTGCCTGGTGTGGGGCTCCTGTTATACAGAGTGTGGCTTTTATCTGAGGACAAATTTTATGGATTAGTAAAAAACTTGCTGAACAAAGGAATATAATTATATTTGATTACAAACAAGAAAACATGAAATTTAACTATTATTTAATTTTATTCAGTAAAACCATCCCTAGCATCAATGACAGCCTCTACACGAGGTCGAAATCGGCTGCAACCTCTGATTAATTGGTGCTTATTTATGTCAGACATTATCCGAACTATTGCAGCTTTAAGGGAGTCTTTGGTGTTATGAGGCTGTTTATTAACCTCCTTCTCAACAACGCTACACACATAATAGTCTAGTGGATTCAGATCTGGAGAGTTAGGAGGCCAAATGTTGGTTGTGATGTGGTCGTACAAATGGTCATCCATCCATTCTTGTGTTCGTAGCGCCTTATGGGATGGAGCTGAGTCTTCCTCGAATATGTAAATCCTGCCGTTGCATATGTTGTAAATTCAGGGCTTGAAAACTGTTTCTAAAACCTCAATGTAAGCAGCAGCATTTACTCTAAGACCTTGTGGAAAAAAAGT